GAGAGGGTTATTATTAATATTCATGAATACCACACCATCCTCTACATCTTCTACAGGAAGGTAATTATAAAGAAGCGGAGAGGTATGCAGATATGGCTATTAAGATAGATAGGTAAGATAGATTATTATCATTATCATACTACTACTAGTATGATGATGATGATCAATATTACTCAGATATAACTGTGAAGCCTTAGTTAATAAGGGTAATTGCTTATTCGTGTGTAATGAATTATATAGAGCTAAGGAGTTATATTTGGAAGCTATAGGAGTTGCTTCTTATTGTCTAGAAGCTATCTATAATCTAGGATTAGTATGTAAACAAGCATGTAATATATATGAGTATAATGATAGAGTAATAATAATATTAAGGTGAATATAATGAGGCATTGATAGCATTCACCAAGTTACAAGAAATAACAAAAAGTAGTATAATGTTGTCAAGTACTCGTAACTAGTAGTAGTAGTTGTATAATAGATAATTGTGATGTATTATGGCAACTTGGAGATATATATCATAAGATAAGTAATTATAAAAAGGCTCATGAATATTTATCACTTATCTTAACACAAGGAATGGCGAGAGGCAGACCTAATGACCCGACTGTAATACTACTAATACTAGTATTAGTAATATTACAATAGTAGTAGTAGGTATTAGCTCGTATTGGAGAGTTATATGAGATAGAAGGTAATGAAGTAGAAGCCTATCATAACTATATGGAAAGCTATCGTAATTGGCCATTGGACTTAACTGTTATTACATGGCTTGGAGTTTATTATGTTAAAAAGGATTTGTAATAATATTATCATCATCATACTACTACTACTGTTGGTTGAGTACTAATATGAGTATTAGTGATAGTATTAGGTTTGAATCAGCTATACCTTTATTCAAAAGGGCTAGTGATATATCCCCATCAGAGCCTAAATGGATGCTTATGATAGCTAGTTGTTATCGTAGAATGGGTAATCAACAAAAGGCTTATAATATGTACGTTATTATCAAGGAATGGTAACATATATATATAACAATGTAGGTACGAACATATATATCGTAGATTCCCGCATAATATTGAACCATTAAGGTAATAAATAACATTATTTAATGTTTATCCTAACTACAGGTACTTGGTATCAATATGTAAAGATATGGGTAATAATACAGCTTATGAACAATATATGAAGATTCTTAATAAACTACAACATCATCATAATAAGGATGAGGATGAGCAGTGTAATAGGTTAGATAAGAGTGAGGAGAATGATGATGAAACAGTAGTTAGTATTAACAAGTAATAATAACAATACTATCCTTATGTATATACGTGTGGTAGGATGATGTTGGAATCACCATCATTACCAACCTACCATACACAGCCGACCTACGATAAGGTGTTATATGATGATGTGGTTGCTGATAGAAAACGATTAACTGTGTCGAAAAGGGGATTACCTTCGATTAAGACCACCACGATTATGGATAATGAATGGGAAGGTGATGATGAATTACCTGATCTTGGAGTATAACATGATGATCATCATGTTCATGATACACATACATTAGTTGAGTTATATTAGTGATGGATGTTGGAGTTTATCCTCACTCGACTATTGAAGGTGATACTATCGATGTCGATGCAATTATTAGAG